TTGGCACGTGAAAAAAAAGATTTATTTGTTTTGTTTTACTTTTTTGGCAAATTTGTTTATGAGACTTTGAATAGTAAAATATTAGAACGTTATCTCTATGAAAACACTCCAAAACGTATCACTATTACGCAAAACATAACTCGATGATGAAAAATGTAGCAAAATTGCTCCACCAAGGTTTACCACGGGGTCAACATGCAAATTGAGGTCAAGGTAATACATTAGTACATGACTCCACCCTGCTAGCGGGTGACGCGTAAAGCGTGGCATCCCAATAGCACCATTAAAACAGTCTGGTTCTGCAGAATCCAGGTACATACATCAATTCTTAAGATGTCTGACCCTATGCTGATTTTGTAGTGACAGCTCACACTTGCACTCTCTTAAACCTACACTGTCAAAAGTTTGACACTCCCCAAATAGAGTGCATTCTTTGCAGTTTCAGTACAAACTTTGAATGACAACATCAACCTAAAGACGCATTTGTTAGTGCAGTCGGCACAGGAACACGTGTGTACTCAGATGGGACCTAAATTTAATATCCTCACTCCAAATATTGGGAGTCAACACTTGCAGGGATGCTGTCGCCCCGGCAACGGAAACAGAATCGCGCTCTCGACACAGCCAAACACGAGCCGCTCCACAAACAGTTCACGTGCCACGGCAAGGGGAAGGAAATCGCTTTGAAAGGTAAAATGCACACACATAAAAGCGGCCAAAGTGGTGTGTGTGTATTTTTTTTTCTTTTTTTTTTCGCCCGTCTCCCGTGATTAAATGAAACCATGTCGGCACGTCTGACTGGCTTCTCAATTTTCAGTGGTTGCCGTGGAACCCGTCGGCGCGGGGATAAAAAGAAAACCTGATATGATTTTGGTGACACCTTTTTCTTTTGTTGGGGGCTGGGGGATTGATTGTGTTGTCAGAAGGAATTTCTGGAAATATCATTCTTCTGGATTTGTTACGGATGAGCGAATCAGGTTTTAGTCCTCAGGGAAGGAGACTAACATACTCTGTTAGCTTCACAGCTGGGGTGGGAAGCGAGGGTTTATACTTCTATTTCAAAACTGAAATGAAGTCATTTTATTAGATAAATATATTTGGTTTCCTCAGATACCTGGGTTTAAAAATGGATTTTCAAAATAATATCCATATCTTTCAAATTTGCTCTCAGTGAGTATGAGATTCTTTCTTGAGGGAAAATAATTACTTACAGTGGAATCATATATTGTATGATTGCACAAGAATTTCATGGTGAAAAATAGGTAAATAATGAATCAAAGTCTATTTTAAAGCAAATTAGGTTTTGCCGTTCACCGACGTATAAACACTGTATACTCAATGTGTTACATGTACCTCCCGAGTGAAAGTTGGGAAAAATCACTCAGGTGAATTCGAACCCATGACCTACTGCTTTCCAGTGCAGACGTCTTACCACTCGACCAACGAGCTTGCGGGATTGTTTGGCCGGTTCAGATCAAATTTTGCATCATTGTGATGTTAATCAATATTAGTTTTTGCCCTTCATTTAATGTGCGTACAGGTGCGTTCAATCCAATGTCCCGACCGACCACCAAGTGACATGTACAAGCTCCTGCCACAGCTTAAAAACCCACTGTTCGACAGTCTACACTGTGTTCGGTCTTTAAAACAATAGTTATTTCCTTACATGCGACACGCAACAAAACATCCATACTGTGAGAATTAGACAGGAGATGATTTTAACTGAAACAAACTATTATTTGTGTGTGTGACATCGGTTTTGAAAGTTAGTGACTACTGTTTCAATATTACTCATTCAATTTGAAAATTTTGGGGTCCTCGCTCCAAAAAAAAAGACATAAAATCTTCAAAGTAATATGTGATTCACTTTTCAGGCATACAACTGGGAAATCAAAAAAAAGAGGAAATTCAAATTTGTCCCAGACTTTGTACAGTGTTTTTCTATTTTCAATGGCACACATGGGAAGTAAAAAAAGAGGAAATCAGCTGAACCGAGGAAAAGTTGCATGCCTGACTATTACTTTCCACCGTTACAATGTCACAATTACTCATGCATTAAGATAGTAATTTCCACCAAATTTTGATAACACTAGAAAAACATTTCCTTCCGAGACCGTCATAACATCACAAGAAAGAATAAGTTATTATAGATCACTCACATGAACTATGCCATGTACATGTGATCAGGGCTAGAGCCCTTCTTAGAGGGAACAGTCGGAATAGCCACCAGGGAAATAGAAAAAATATATAACCCAATGATTTGATTAATAGTCACGATAGCCTCCACGGCCTTATGTGACTTTTAGCCCTGCCGGGAATAGTCGTGAGACAATGATAAAAATGGACGGAGAAACGAAACGATGACGGAGCCCGATAAATCTGACGTCAAAGTGGCCATGTGGTGCACACAGGCCCGCTGTCGGAGCGTGCATGCCGTTGCTAGGATATCGCTACTTTTCTCTCGACTGGTCCCCATGGTGAAGTCCGAGCGCCGATGAACACACTTCAAAGCAATATTAAGGTTATCGTGCATTACGGGCAAGCCACTGAATCATGACTTTGGTATCGCTGTCAATTTTCCATTCGAAAAAAAAAATTTGCCTTCTTGAAATACATGTAATCCCTTTAAATTAAGTTTCAACGGAAAAGAACAGTTCAAAAAAATTATACATTGTTTTGTATTTCGCCATGTGAGTCAAAAGACTATTCTGTTAAACATGTTACACAATTTGCAAAACCAACACATGGTGAACTTCATGCTTACGTTGTATAGAATTTACAAGTTCTATAAAGAGTTCTTTTAATTTCTTATGTTTCTAGAGAAAAAAACGACAAGATAATCGTGCAATGTTCGATTGCAATTTAACCAGGAAATTTGTTGCGGCCTGAGCAACAATTTCTGATATTTTTTTATCATAAAAGAAAAGCTTGCCATGGATTAGCCATTAGTATTCATGCTGTTGGTGCATGTTTTATTGCCAATTACTGACAAATTGCAAAGGGACCATATTGCTCACAGTTGAGCAGTTTAGCAATCCGAGAATCAGCCATTTCCATGGCAACAAAGCACTCACTTAGATGCTAATTATTGACGTGCGCACATTCCCACCTTCATCAATCTCAAATAACTGCAATGTTAAACCACTCAAATTTGCATACGGCGCGGCAACGCATTTGCAAAATGGCCTTGAGCGGCAACATAGGCGCCGCAATTACTTGATTGAATAGCACCGGTAATCTGATATCGTAAAACTAAACCATGGATTAGTAATGTACATGCAAAGTTGGTCTGTTTGTTGGTCAACTGAGAAAATCACGCTGCTCTACCATGTCATTTTTCACAGGCAGGTTACTTTTACCTTATCATGTATGAAGATGACAAATATCCATCTATTTGTGAGGCATCGAAGTTGTAAATCTTAATTACATTATTAGACATGTGTCCAAGTATTTCTCTGAAATACAAGAAAAATTATACTCCCCAACTACGTGGCCAACAAATTGTAATCAAGTAGGCTAATAGTGGCCACATACTGGTACAAGTAGTCAAAATATAGAATTTGCCAAATCATGGCCAAATCGTGGCAACATCTATCAATAAAGTTGCCCAACTGTGGCCAAATAGTGGCCAATTACATGTACATGTATGTACGTACATGTTGTCAATACAGTTACCAAATCGTAGCGAATGGACACATAAAATACTGTGGCCAAATTGTAGCCAAGTACCGGCCTCACAGTCAATACAGTTGCCAAATTGTAGCCAAACAGTGGCCACATGGTGGATACAATTGCCAAATTGTGGCCAAACAATGGCCATTTTCACAAAGTTGTCAAATGGTGGCCAAATAGTGGCCGCATAGTAAATATCTACTGGCCAAATGATTGCCAATACCGGTATGTAGCCACCAAATTAACCAATCATTCCCATGACTTACAGAACATTATACGGCTGTGGAAATGTAAAGTGCACATGTACATGTACAGTATGTAAATGCATTTATTGTGTTTCAACCTAATAAACCTACATGCATAATTAGTGATCAACTTGTTTCATTGCAACCAGTGATCTCTGACCTCAAGGTATTGACCTGTTCACTTCAGCCAACCCATTGGGATTATCTCTAGACTATACCAGTGTAACTCTTGTGACCACCTGTCTATTGTGGCCACCTATCCAGTGTTTAACCACCTGGGCCCAAATTCATAATGCTGCCTAACAGCCAATTTTGTGTTCACAGAGCCTCTGTCTATTTCATAGAGACCGTTAAGCAGTAAGCACAGCAAAAGCATGTTTAATCCCAGATGAAAAAGTTGCTTCAATCAGTGACGTAACAACAGAAATCTCCACGAGCGTGCAACTGTTACAACATTCGCGCCATAAGTGCTTAACCAGTTCGCGCTGGAGGCCAAGTACATTTGTATACATGCACAAAAGTTTTGCGGTATTCGGAACGGATGGCAGATAAACACGCAGGGAGAGAGGCCGGAAATATCTGTCAGCGACCTGCTCGCAGAGAGTGAGGCTGGAAATATGAGTGTGCTGCCCGAGGGTGATGGCTAAATAAATAAATCCCGCATCTCGTTCTGTTCTTGTCAAAATAATCCCTGTGTGAACTGGTTAAGCAGTGCAGCATGATTTTCTGCTATTTTCTGTAACTGGTAAGCAGGGCTATGAAATTGGGCACTGCTTATTGTAAGCATCCTGAACATGTCTATCCTGACCACCTGTCCATCATGGCCCACTGCCAACATAAGGATCTATTATGACCACCTGTACATCTTGGCCATCTGCCAAGATCTGTCTATGGACCCCTTCCCCTACCTGTCAATCAAATTGCAACGCAGTGAATCTCGTTCAGGTGACCAAGGTAGCTCAGTCAAACTCTGTTACAAACACTGCGAGAAGTTTACAAAATGTTTAAGATGGGCGGAGCTTATGACCACCTGTCCATAATGGCCACCTGAACTGGAATCAGCCTAACTCTATGCAAACATACCTGAGCCAGTTTGTCGAAGCGAGCAAACAGCTCGTTGAGGATCTTGACCAGCTCCTGTGCCGTGCACTGGGAGGACAGCTTGGTGAAACCCTCGATGTCTGCGAACAATATACTGCCAAGAAAGAAAAGACAGATAACCGGAGCAATTACAACACCTGTTTAAATAAAAAAGAAATATCAAATCGATAAACTGCCTTAGGACTGCCATAACCTCCTGCACTACTGTGCACTGGGGGCGCAGCATACATGTATGCTGCCAAGAAGAAAAAAATAAACCTAAACAATTCAATAATGTTCATAAATACCTATTCAGTTTACCCATTCCTATTGGTCGAGAGCCTATCATGTGGCCGGTCTTAAACAGTCGATAAAACACCAGCTGACTGGTCTTAAACACTTTTCCAGTGTCGCATGAAATTTGGACTCCTATGAAATCCAGTGCCTTTTACCGTTTTAACAATCCTCACGTGGGCATGCGCAATACTATCAGTGAGTCAGTATTTTGTAGTCCTAAATTCACACTACACCGTCACAGCTGCGTTCTGCGTCACATTGCCCAGTACGTGCGACGCGAGCGCCAAACTCCATATAAGGAGTTGTTTACGACTACTCGCGAGAGGGACATACCATAACATAGCTAGAGGGGTGCTTCGAACAACATGAAGTAAAGTTGTTGAACAAAATTGTTGGAAATATATAATGTTTGACTTGTTTTGACTTATGGACCAAAAGTTTTTGGGTCATTATCAGTGTCCAGACTCCCAACCAGTCTTAAACATAGTGTTTAAAACCGGCCAAGCACACATTTACTCCCTTATTAAAACTGCCTACTCCTGAGGCACAAGCAATTAAAGATGATTCAGGGTCTTTATCTGAAAGACAAAATAAACCCAACCTTCATAATTTTACGTGCTTGTCCTAGATGTTTTCTTCATTAGTGCTCTATATTGTTAGGCCTACGTGCTTATTTACTGCTGTATTACAGCTACCATTTGTAGGTCATTAAATTTAATTCTCCAGAGTCCAGACATTATTTCTTGGAAGGGGGTTGGGCAGCCTTCAAATTATTATTTTGCAAATTTACAAATGACAAATTTATGCAAAACAAATATTCCCAACTTTACATAAAAAAGCAAATGTTGTGCTTAAACATTGACTCTTAATGTGTAAAAACTACAGGTACATGTGTATCTTTTGAAATAGCAAGTGCATGTTTACTGCATCAACACAGCAAACAGAATCCAGAAATAATTAGATTTCTTTTTTAAATTTAAGATTCAATTTGCACCAGGCCTTGCCCAACCTTTTATACACACATACACATGTAGCTGTAGCTGTGCTTTTCACATACATTGTAACAGTCACTTCATTCTGATGCAGTAATTATATAATATTGAATGGCTTTGAAGAGATACAAGAATATATGGCAATATTCTTATAGCGAGTGCAATATATTCTTGTATTCCCCGAAGAAAAGCCATCCAATATAATTTTTATTATTTATATCAGGCTGACTTGATCCAAAAGAAATAAATTTCATGTCGCTGTCTTGTAAAAATCGCCGACTACTTTCTTAGTACTTAATCATTAACTTTAATAAAATACCAGCTAGTGAAAGCTTTTCCAGCATCTCAAAATCCGTCAGTAGCTTCTTCTCGGCAGATACCAGTAGGCCTACATGTTTATTCACAGAATATTTGCGGGTGTCATCTTGGTTGCTTTCCAGGTATTTTCAGTATCTTTAGTTCTCAAATTTCGTTGAATTCTTCGCTAACTGAAGCGTACCTCGCGCCGCTTGAAGCTGCCATTTTTGTCGACAAAGCACTACCGAATGCGCGACCGCGACCGCTAGGCTCTGTTCACTGGTTAACAACTGTGACTTTCTACACTCTTGATTGAGCGGGAACCAGTGAAATTTTTTTTAAATCCCCGGATGAGGGCAATATCAAAAATAATATTGTCCTCATCCGGGTGCTTTAAATACTGACAATATTGCAGTCATCCGGATACTTTTACTAACATAATACTGCAGTCATCCAGGTACTTTTACTGACATAATACTGCAGTCATCCAAGTACTTTTACTGACATAATACTGCAGTCATCCAAGTACTTTTACTGACATAATATTGCAGTCATCTGGGTACTTTTACTGACATAATACTGCAGTCATCTGGGTACTTTTACTGACATAATACTGCAGTCATCCAGGTACTTTTACTGACATAATACTGCAGTCATCCCGGTACTTTTACTGACATAATACTGCAGTCATCTGGGTACTTTTACTGACATAATACTGCAGTCATCCAAGTACTTTTACTGACATAATACTGCAGTCATCCAGGTACTTTTACTGACATAATACTGCAGTCATCTGGGTACTTTTACTGACATAATACTGCAGTCATCTGGGTACTTTTACTGACATAATACTGCAGTCATCCAGGTACTTTTACTGACATAATACTGCAGTCATCCCGGTACTTTTACTGACATAATACTGCAGTCATCCGGGTACTTTTCACTACAGCATACAATACGCTGATCTATTTTTACCACTGGAAGCCTGATATAAGTAATAATTCACAATATTTATTTTCATCAACGAAAGGTCAGACACAGGATGAACAAAGCAACACCTGGAGCGAAATTAATGAGCTGCCGAGCACGGGAATTTGCTATTAGCACTGAAAATACTTGCTTTGCAAAAAACAGTTCACCAGTTCAATTATGAAGTGGTTTAGATGTAGGATGAACTGCACATTTAAGACAGGAAATTTGTAAGTAGTACTTGTAAAATTTGCCCTGGTGTATGGATGAATGGAAATGTTAGTAATGGTGCTAGTGCTCAGTCCTGATTCTATCAAAAACAATCAAAACCAGACAATGGATTTTGTTGGGTTTTGGAGGGTTAAGCGTATACAATTTATCATCTGTCAATCTGTTACTATGATAGAAAGATCTGCTGAAAACGTAACGCTTGATACACTGTAGTTAAAAATCACATCATAAATCATCGGTGTCGGCTGATCACATATCGGTGCGTGTATCATTAATTAAAGGTAGGATGAACCATTTTGTCATGTGTGCATTTTTTTCAATTGAAACAACAAAAGTGGTCAAAGTCTAGAGACGGGTGCTTAACAACTAGCCTGATGAAGCTTTAGCTCTGTGAAAGCTGTATATAAATTATGAACAAAAACCCACAGTATTCTGTATCACGATTTCAAATCAAACTTGCCGCATCATGTTTTGAATTGCGTCTTCTCATGACACAATCCAAAAATCAGCATTCGGGACATGATTCTCATTCTAGCTACATGTACATGATGTCACACGCTGAACCGACGATTCTCGCTAATAATAGCAACCGCAGGCGCGCGTGTGCGTCATGTCAACGCTTGCATGCACACATTCACGGATTCGCCCAATTACAAACCAACTACCAATGGAAATTTCCAAAAATGTGTCACTTGACACATCTTTGCAAATGACCTTCTTTAATTGTTTGTCTTCAAAACGACAACATGCCCGGAAGGGATAATTACATGAGGAGTTTAGTGTCAATACTATCTTTAAACCAAGTAAGCTATTTTTTTTTACGATAACTTGGTCAGTTGTTATTTTGAAAGCTGCATATGGTCCATTCTACATGTACATGTACATGTACCTTTAAAAATGCTAAAGCAATATGTACATACTTCTTGAAATTGTTTGAGGTGCTCACTTTAAAATTCAATTTCTCTAGCTGATTAATTAATTGGGCCATGATTCATTGGTCCATCAATAAATCGCCTCCACACGCACCTTACAATACCCCCACCCCCCCCCCCTTTTGTACCTGACGTTGCTGTGACGCTGGATGTAGATCTTGTGGAATTGAATGTCCTCCCGTTTGCTAGCAATATCGGCCTTCATCTCCATGGCAACGTGCCGTGGCAACACCGACAACAGCAGTCTCTCCTGCACGAGTGGAAAAAAAAAAGGAAGAAAAAAAAAAAAAATGAGCCAAGGGTAATATTAGTCTTTAAAGTAGGAGGTACAAAACAAACACGGGTCGTGGCAATTTTTCGGGTCAACTACCACTCGCCGAGTTTGCTGTCGCTCATTTTCTCGCCTCGATGGCTCACTTTAAAGGGCTTCTGTGTGTGGTTCTAGCGAAATACCAATAGCCCGAAGCGCAGCTTGTTTTGGGGTTAAGTAACACCTTGCAAAACAACCTGTATTAATTTAAAAGGGAGTATCATTTACAGGTGCAGGGTCTTAGGGTGCTGCTTTAAAACTAAGACGATATTCCTCCGGCGTTTTTATGAGATTTCCTGAATTGGTCAGCATTCTGTAGTTGGCAGAGCCATGAAATCGGGTCCTGACCTTGTGTTGGGCGATATCCTTATCAAACGCAAAATACGTTATGTTTACAAGCACATTAAACCTCATCATCTCCTCTCTCAGTCCATCTTGGTGACTTGAAACATGTTGTGGCTAAAAAAGGATTGATTCAGAGTACAGTGCGCCCAAAAGATACATGTAACTCTTAGGACCCAACCCAAATTAGAGCCATATTTGCGACACAAAAGATTCCGCACGAGCCCTCTGCCTTACATGACATTTTTTTGGAATGGGAAAAAGTGCAATTTTCTCCTGATTCCACCATTTTTTTGTTTAAGGTACTCTTAAAATACCTTTGTACGTGCATGTATTTATCTATTTTTATTTTGACTTTTATACGATTTGATTCAACTGTTTGTAAATACAATTTCATGGAATTATTTTATATACCGTATTTGTTACTGATTCCAAAACTTTGCAATGTAATGTAAACTTCACGTTATTCAGCTTCTGGCCGCAGTAATGATTTAAAGCAATAAACCAGCTGAAAAAAAAAATGTCCACATACACACACCAAACAGTATTACTGCTGGCACAAAGCAACTAGAACTTGCCAGTTTTTAATCTAAGTTTTTAATGGCTTTTTTTTGGGGGGGGGGAGTGGGAAAGATGGAGAAGGGACACGCAAATTTCAAGTTGGAACTTTCTTTCTTCTTACAGCAACGAGTTTTGTTTTTAAAGAGGTTTCCAAATTTATTTGTGTTTACGTGGTCCTGTAAATAAACAATAACGGACACATATTTAACTTATTGGTCGCTCCACAAAGCGATGTATCATGTGAACACATCCACAGTCGGCAACTTTATGGTGTGTCATAGTTACTGTAACCAGTGGTAGAGCATCAGAGGAACTGAAAGGAAAACATGCAGGGATGTTGCTCATCAAATTGGAAAGTGGCCGTTTTGTTAGTTGATGCTGATTGGGCCACTGTCTTGTGGATCACTCAAATTTTAAGCACAATTCAAGGACCTGCAGGGCCCAATTTCATAGAGCTGCTTAAGCAGAAAATTTGCTTAAGCACGAAAAAAACATTGCTTAGTAAAATTAGGTTACCGGCCAAAACTCCATGTGATGTACATTGCTTGTGACTGGTATTTAGCTGTTGTTTACTTAGCATAACAATCGCATGGAGTTTTGGCCAGTAACCGATTTTATTAAGCAAGACGTTTTTGTGCTTAAGCAAATTTTGTGCTTAAGCAGCTCTATGAAATTGGCCTCATGTTGATTCTGACATTCAGAGCACAGCTATGAACGTGTATGTGCATGGTAAACTTTCCTTGTTGACCAATTAAATGGACGCATACATACACATACATCTACAGGTATTTATTCAAGAACATTGTCAACTACCAGGCTACCTCCCACGGAGAGTTGGAATACGACTTGAAAGTGAAAATGACTTGAAATTGAATCTCGATCGTAACTCCGAAAAAATTTCACCGAGACTCCATGAAGTTAATCTCATGCAAGGCAGAAAGATAATATACCAAGCTTCAGACATCTTGGCACTAATGAAAAAACAAGGGGAGACGTACCGTAATTTAGATTGGTAGGGACAGTAAAAGGTTTGAACGCAGAGAGCAAGTTGTTGATAGATCCAAATGCTTTGGCACGAGACAGGCTCGGGTATCGGTGAAGTAAATGAGATTTACTGGGGCAGTCGAGGTGGAATCTCGGTTAAGTACTTGTGCAGACACGGACTTGAACTGTGGTTCGACTTTTTATTGCAGATCGACTCACGACGATTGTGTGCAAGTGAAAATGTTCTCTCCAGAGATTGGCACAATACATAAACATGTAAACTATGTTTCATGATGGTATACGGACTCCGTGCACAATTGGGGGAGATCTGGGAGGGAAATTTGAACGCATTGCTGATGGCAAGGAAGACGCTACAGGTTTGGCCACATTCAGAATCAAATAAGCGGTGCATATTTCGCGCGACACGGAAATAACAAGTACATCCATGCAGCGTGTCACTCCCTCTAGGGTTCTCAAAAATGGTTAGAAGTGGTCATGTACACAATGAGTCAATACACGGGTTGGGTAGGATCCAACGTCTGAATCATACATGGAAGAAGGGGGTTCAAGTAGTCTGAGTATCACCCGTTATCCACGGAGCTCATCTCCGGTAGAACGTCTGAGCATGCGTGATGTCATTTCATTCCGAAATCAGGACTAACATTGTGATTGGTCATTTTTGATGCCACATTTTAATACAACAACCTGTACAAAAATGCTACTCAACATGGGTGTGATGTTTACGCCCGCAGGGAGCTCGCATTGCGCGCGCATAGAAGGCGCCTGCTGATTGGTCAGTTTCTCTAGGTCATACGCAGTCTAGTTGCATATTTAATCGCCGTTTTGTGTTTACATATCATAGACCATGATCACTTCACCAGGGCCAAGGTCTATTACATAGACTAGGGTTCAGGGGGGGAGGGGAGGTCCCCCCCCCCCAAAAAAGAAATCCTTTGCCTGCCCACTTTTGGGCATCCCCCAACAGCGACCCAATGTACTGTGCCCATAATTTTCAGAAACGTTCCATTTCCATTGGGTCACTACCGGTATGTTCATATTTATCTTCAAACAGATTGACATTTAACCAAGGAAATGTTCAATTTCATTTTTTTCAATAACTCATTTTCCCAATTTCTTTATTTTTTTAATGATTAATTTTCTTTAAAATTGCTGAGAGAGTTTTTTTATGTTTAATAAATGTTCCTATTATTTTAGAAACATTTCCCAAAATTTGACCTAGAGGTTAATGAGAAAGAAGTCCTTTCAAAAATTGTTATTCACATTTGTAGAAAACTATCTTAAGTGCCCGAATATGTGCATACATTTTTTTTGTAAGTCAAACTTTAACTTTAAATAGGATACAAAGTGTGACAATTTTGCTATCCCTGTTACTTTGTTTCTTTGTAATTTGCCATTCAAGTAGCATTATGAATAACTTCAAACAATTTTGTGTAATTGTTGGGTTTGTAATTTGCTATTCAAAATCACTCTTGGAGGATGACTGCATTAAGGAGTACATCAGAATAATGAAATTATAGATGTCAGATGTAACAGGGAAAAAAACCGGACCCACATTTATAAAATGACCCACATTTATAAAAATGACCCACATTTATGCTTAGCGGAAGAAGGTAAATTTGATGTGCACAATGAGGCTACTGTGAGTGTTTAAAGGTAGAGTATATCATTTGCAGCTATCCAAAAATAAGCTGACCAAATTATTGTTAAAACTCTTACTTGGTTTAAAGATGTTAATGGCACTAAACTCCCTGTGAAATTATTCCTTCTGGCATGCTGTCATTTTGAAGAAAACAATAAAAGAAGGTCATTTCCAAAGATGAGTCAGTTTTCGATATTTCCGTAAGTAGTTGGTTTGTTATTGGGCAAATCAGGGAACGGGTGTGCGCAAGCGTTGACACGACGCACACGCGTGCACGGTTGCTTTTGTTCGTCGGTTCAGTGCATGACATCGCGTAGCTGCAATCGGCCGAATGAGAACATGTTCTGGATGCTGATTTGGGCGCAACTCAAAATATGACTCCGCAACTTTTGAATTGGAATCGAGAGATCCTAGAAAATTTGTTTTCTTGGAATAAACAGCATTGACAGAGCTAAAACTTCATCAGGTTTGTTGTTCATGACCCGTCTTTAGATTTTGAGCACTTTTGTTGCTTCCAATGAAAAACATGCACACATGACAAATGATCTACTCTACGGTACCTTTAAATCACATACCTTTGCAACTAGGCATTTTATATGCTGGAAAATAAGGGACAAAAATAGAAAATGTACATGCCTGTGCCAATTTCTGTCGTGTGTGTACACTCCATTAGCGTAGCCATTGGCAAACGGCAACGAACCCAATTTTTTTTTTTTTTAAGTGACGTCGCAATAAAAGCAGGCACTGCGTACACCACCATCTTTTCCTCAAAAAAAATTGTCAATGTGGTCAGAAATTGCCTCAGATTGCACCACAGAGCATCTAGAATCCAAAAAAAATTCAGGGAATTGAAGTGGGCCCCAAACCCCACGCCGTCATTTTTTGAACCCACTTCCCCCCCCCCAAAAAAAAAATTTGTGTTCTGGATCCGCCCTTGGCAAACGGTTTTAGCTGCCAACTGGTCATGTACATTTCTTTCGGTTATGTTATGCGCTCTATAAGAATGATTTATTATTATTATTATTATTACACAAACAACCGTCTGAATGTCCGTGTTACTAGGCTTTAATCTGAGGTACTGGAAATGATTCATGTGCATCTAGTAATAGTCTGAACTGACGCTTGTTTTGAGCAACATTTAAAGGAGTACTTTCGAGAGAATGTGCCCGTTTGGGCTCCAATGTTGCATTTACCACAAAATGATAATGCGATCGTTAAAAAGTGAATACAAAGGTTTACACATTTATTATCTTGGAAATATGCTGGTTGTTTGTGTAATTACCTCGTAAAGGAATTTCAGATAACAAAATGGAGCCGTGGGAGCATCAGTTGTCATTACAGTGACACTTCTTGCTTTTCAACGAGCATGCGACCCGATATCCTACACTGACAC